TCAATGGTTTTCCAATGTTTTTTGATTCCCAGCCCCCCGAGCCCCAGGCCGACTAAGTAGCGAAAAGATGGCGTTTTTTGAATTTTGTGGGACCCTCACAGGGATTAATTGGGTTTGTTTTGGGCTTATTGGTTTTTCAATGGTTTTGGAGCCTGGGCTGGCGAAGTTGATGGAAGCTGTGGGGAGGAGGGGGAGCGGATGAGGGGAGGGAGGGAGGAGGAGGAGGAGGAGGAGGAGGAGGAGGAGGAGGAAGAGGAGGAGGATGGGGGGGAGGAAGACGTGGAGGTGCATGGTGAAGCCAGGGTGCATCAATGATGCTGTAATGCACCCTACCGTATGAGGAGCAGGAGGAGGATATCCAGAGTGACGCCATGATGCATCAACGATGCTGCAATGCACCATCCCGTAGGACGATCAGGAGGAGGAAGACGAGGCACAGGAAGTTCAGAGTAAGCCCAATGTGCACGAACGATGCTGTAATGCACCCTTCCGTCCCATGTTCCCTATTCACATGTCCGTGCAAGCATTCCCTTTCACAACTGGACGTGCGACCTTGAAAGGTAATCGTCCCATGTGCCTGCATTCATGCGAGAGCTCCGGAGGTGTCGGAAAGACGGTGCAGCGTGGGTACTCACGCTGACCAGTGTGGAGCGCATAAGAGATGAGCGCAGTCACCGCATGTTCGGTAGTTGGCACTGCGAGACGCGATGGGGACATGACTGCCTCAAAACACGCTCTATCATCACCGCTGCCACCGTCATCGTCGTCGTCGTCGCTGCGCGGGCATTCGCTTACTGCATATGAGAAAACACACAGGCTACCGAACAGCCTCTGACCTAGTAGTAGTAGTAGTAGTAGTAGTAGTAGTAGTAGTAGTAGTAGTAGTAATAGTAGTAGTAGTAGTAGAAGTAGTAGTAGTAGTAGTAGTAGTAGTAGTAGTAGTAGTAGTAGTTGTGGTGGCAGTAGTAGTAGTAGTAGTAGTAGTAGTAGTAGTAGTAGTAGTAGTAGTAGTGATAATAATGTCAGTTGTGGTAGTAGTAGTAGTAGTAGTAGTAGCAGCAGCAGCAATAGTAGTACTAGTAAAACTCGTAGTGCTAGTAGTAGTAGTAGTAGTAGTAGTAGTAGTAGTAGTAGTGGTAGTAGTAGTAGTAGTAGTAGTAGTAGTAACAATAGTAGCAGTAGCAGTAGCATTACTAGTGGTAGTACCAGTCGTACAAGTAGTGATAGAACTAATATTAGTAGTAGTAGTAGTAGTAGTAGCAGTAGCAAAGGTAGTAATAGTAGTAGTAGTAGTAGTAGTAGTAGTAGTAGTAGTAGTAGTAATAGTAGTAGTAGTAGTAGTAGTAGTAGTAGTAGTAGTAGTAGTAGTAGTAGTAGTAATAGTAGGAGTAGTAGTAAGTAGTGTAGTTAGTAGTAGTCGTAGTAGTTAGTAGTCGTAGTAGTAGAGTAGGAGTAGTGAAGAGCAGAGGTTGTGGTGTTAGTAGTAGTAGTCGTAGTGTAGTAGCAGCGCAATAGTAGCGACTAATAAAACTCGTAGTGTAGTAGTAGTAGTAGTAGTAGTAGTGTAGTAGTAGTTAGTGGCTGGTAGCTCGTGTAGTAGTAGGAGTAGTAGTAGTAGTAGTAGTAGTAGCAATAGTAGTAGTAGTAGTAGTAGTAGTAGTAGTAGTAATAGTAGCAGTAGCAGTAGCATTTACTAGTGGTAGTAACAGTCGTACAAGTAGTGATAGAACTAATTTGTAGTAGTTAGTAGTTAGTAGTAGTAGTAGTAGTAGTAGTAGTAGTAGTAGTAGTAGTAGTAGTAGTACGTAGTAGTAAGTAGTAGTAGTAGTAGTAGTAGTAGTAGTAGTAGTAGTAGTAGTAGTAGTAGTAGTAGTAGTAGGTAGGTAGTAGGTAGTAGGTAGTAGGTAGTAGGTAGTAGGTAGTAGGTAGTAGGTAGTAGTAGTAGTAGTAGTAGTAGTAGTAGTAGTAGTAGTAGTAGTAGTAGTAGTAGTAGTAGTAGTAGTAGTAGTAGTAGTAGTAGTAGTAGTAGTAGTAGTAGTAGTAGTAGTAGTAGTAGTAGTAGTAGTAGTAATAGTAGTAGTAGTAGTAGTCGTACTACTAGTAGTACTGGTCGTAGTAGTAGTCGTCATCGTCGCTATAAATTACGCTACCGAGGAACCCCACATACTTGATTTAAGTCTTATGTGCTTGCCTGCCGCGGAACTGCTACGCCTGCCGCGCTGTGCGAGCGTGCGACCCCTGCGCGCCCCCCTTGGTGTCGAGGAAATGCTACGCCTGCCGCGCTTTGCGAACGTGCGACGGATAGAGACCGCACCACTTGCGCACCCCCCCTGGTGTCGAGGAAATGCTACGCTCGCCGAGCTTTGCGAGCGTGCGACGGATAGAGACCGCACCCCCTGCGCACCCCCCCTGGTGTCGAGGAAATGCTGCGCCTGCCGCGCTTTGCGACCGTGCGACGGATAGAGACCGCACCCCCTGCGCACCCCCCCTGGTGTGGAGG